TCAGTTGTGAACAACTCAAGACAACCAAAAGTCCCTCTCAACACTAACACTTGCTAACTTGGACGGGGCAAAACTGTGAGTGTGGGGTTGCTGGTCATCTTCTAGGATTATAAAGCAGTTACCAGGACAGCTTCTATCAAGGAAGGAGAGGGGAAATTAAAATCATAAGAACACAAACAAGTTACTCAGAGGGTTTACAGAATGTCAGAGGCTCTACTCTGCTTATTTGTGCTCCTTTAACCTGCGGTAAATGATACATAATGTGTAGTAGCTTAATCCTCTCCCACTGATGGGCAAGCTACCACAAGTTAGCTGGAGGCTTGTGAGCAGTTAATCCAGAGCATCTGATGTACTGTCATTGAATAGTCCATGCTTCTGGATGGCCCATAGCACTCTCTCAACAATACACCTGCTCCTTATACTAGTGGTAAGGAACATGCAGGGATTGTTTCTTTATCACTAGATATCCACTCAGAGAATCTAGGTAAATGGTGACCCCAAACATATGAAGCTGCAAGGGTAGCACCACAAGTTAACAGCAATTAAATAGCTACTGTTTTTTTACTAAAGTCAGTAAGTAATCACAGCATCTAAACCTCATGTTAAAAAGCAAAGAGAAAAGCTTTAAGTCTTTTTGACTAAAGTGAACAAAGTATTTCTGAAGTTTTTCAACTCATTTTCCTTATCATAAATGATTCTATATGGCAGTATCTGTTTATCTGGACTTTATGGATTTCTGAAAATGATTTTTTTTTACTTGGTTCACAGATCCATTCTCCTGACATCTACAGAAACACATGGCTTACTTTAAAAATACTACCAGCCATGTGCAAAGGGGAATTATCAATTATTCATTCCATTTCCAGTCTTGTGTTGAACTCCCCTATTCCTCTTCCTGTTGACTGTCTTTTATTCTAATCCACCTTTACCACATAGAAGGTAAGATTTAGTGGTCTTGCACAGAGGTGCTTAAACCAGTCTTAATGAATGTGGATACTTCAGGAAGCAAGATTATGCTCTCTCTGGTGGTTGAAAACGCTGATGTAATGATTTAAGACCCTCACAAGGGCAAAATGAGATTTATGGGGAATCAGTCTTCTAAGTAGTGGCACATCCGAGAACTTCCAACAGCAGCCTATCCACAAATTATTTGTGACCAGGCTTCCCCTCATAAAAAGTTTAATGAGTGCAATTTGAAAAATTCAGTCAACAGGCAGGCTTTGCAGTGCATACAAATAAATATGTCAGTCCAGAAAGACTATCACTATAGACATGTTGCAGGGATTTGACATCCTACACAACCTATGACTGAATTTGGCCAGGCCAACAGACATGGGGCTTTGATGATTTTTGGCCCTGGGAGAAGCTTCAATAGCAGCTGCTTACCCTTATAGCAGCAGGAATAAGCTCAGTCTGCAGGTGCTCTCCCCATGCTGCTGCAGGGAAAACCTGCAAAGGCAACTGGGCCCTAGCCCCTGCCCTCTGACTCCATGTGGGTCAGTTGAGCTTGCAGTCTATTGGAGACATACTGTAGGCTAGCAAATGAATTGCTATGTCCCATGGTTGTGACTCAGAAAGGTAACTGCTTTCTTCTGTACTGTATGCATAATGCTGAAAGCTATGATTTATTTAAATGAATCTGGAATCATTATGGGGGAAATTAAGCAGGTTTGATAATGACGCTCTGTAGCATTAAAGCTTAAGTGAAAATGGAATTAACTCCTTTCAACAGGTGTGGCCGTCATCTTTGTTCTCATTGGTAGTGTATACACACACCCCTTTTAAATGGAATTAGCCTAAAATCACCACTAAGGCGCAGTAAGGGGTTGTGTCCATATATACATGCCCTAAATACGCTTTAAAAATGGCAATTTTAAGCTAATCCCACCTAAATTTGATACCTGCATAAAGCAAGTATCAAATTTCGACATGATTAACTAAGTCACATTAATCCACATGTAGATGCTTAATGTGCGTTCACATGGTGTGCACATTACCTTGCATATAAAATAGAGTACTGAAAGACTTTACGTACTGTACTAACCTTATCTATGTTTTTGTCAGCTCAGCAGCTTTGGACATTGGAACTCAGTAATAAGAAAGCTTTTTTCCCCCCCATCTGCTGTGCTCGATATATATTAAAAAACAGGTTTAGTAATTCAAAAAGTTGTCCACAACTGTGTAATTCAAAGAATGGGTGAATGCAGGCACTCTCCACAAAGTTATCCCTGAAAACCAACAGGGAAGTTTCTATTACTGTAAACCAGGGGTGGCTATCCTGCAGCAAGTGGCACAGGCATCCTATGCGGCACACAGTAGGTTGAAGAGGGGGCAAGCAGCACAGCGGCAGATTGGGCAAACAGCAGAAAGCATAGCAGCAGATTGGGCAGGGAAAAGAGATCGGAATGGCGCTTGAGGAGGGTGCAGGGCTTAATTTATGGCACTCTTGTCAAAAAGGTTGGCCCCACTGGTGTAGACTATGGTAGCCTACTTGCTTAGTGTTTTTTCCTAGAGGAAATATTACATATTACATTTCCAGCCTGTTATCTTCACAAGCACAAAGCTCAAATAACTTGGGGGAGTTAATTACACATAAGCTAGGTCGTTATTATGTAGGTGCATAATGAGGCTGCCAAGGCCATCTGGACAGTCTTCTGCATTAAATGAGCAGTAGTGAATGGGAACACTGATTCGTAGTACCTTTCCTCAGTGTGAAAATCTGACCTTCAGAGCACAGTATTTTGGCAGGGATAAGGGCCACACAGAAACGTGAAAGGAAGCTCGTTACGGCTGAATGTTCCTTAGGTTAAGTTTGTAAAGCATTTGTAGGCAAGTGATGCACAAGCAAGCTTTTACAAAGGTCAAAACACTTTAATAAAACTTTTTTTTTTTTTTTTTAATTAGTGTCCACTTTCTCTAAGACTATAGTAAAAGTATGCACAGGCACTTTAACAGGATGCTTTTAGTGAAGACCCTATCCTTCCTATAAGTGCTAGCACATTTGCCTCTGCAGAAAACTATTCTATTCTCCAATAAACTAGCTATGATACATTTTCAGTTCTCCCGAAAGGCTGCTATAGTCATTGTTTTATTGCATAACTATGCAGAGATTATAGTCTGCACCAAAGAGGATTTTGAAGCATAACAGGTTTTAATGTACTTAGCTTTGAAAAATTCACCTCATACAGTCTATTCTTTGTGGTTTTATAAACCCTTAAATATACTAAATTCCTTTGCCTTAAGAAAAATAGCTACTTTAAAAAAATGCTAGGTTTGCATTTTTGTAGGGTTGCACTTTTCTTTTAAGTGGCTTCTAGTTACTTATAATAAACAATATGTATTTAGGGTTGTACTAGAAAGGTAACTGGTGCAGTGCTTCATGTATGCATGTTGGAACACAACGTATGTTTAGAGTTCAGTTAGTCACGTTCTGTGATCTGCCAATTTTACTCCAAGTATTCCTGGTTACTATTGCTATGTTTCACTTTGGAAAGTGTCAATTTAAACCTTTTCAACATGAACATGTCCTTAAGAACTTTCTTAATTGCTTGGAAAAAAGTATTAAACCATCTCATCATAAGAAAAAAAAATGGAGCCAAAGACTTTGTGTTGGTGCTTTGGACATTAATTTTCATATGCCATGTGGCTTCATATTTAATGGAAATTGCAAAATTATCTTCAATACCCCCTCTATTTGGGGGTAATGGGAAGCTTCCCTGTCCCTCTTACAAGGTTTCCATTAATGATGTTCACGAGAACCAAAATACATCACGCAGATAGGGCTCAAAGCTCTTTCAAAGGGTTTCACCTCTACAGAATATGGGTGGATGCAACCACCAATCACCTTTGCCAAACTCAGTTCTGTCTAGGTCTTGCTCAGGGAAGTAGTAGAGTATTAAAGACAATAATTCCTTGGGTCTATCAGGGAACTAACAAAATTGTCCGAATCAGCTGTTCATGAAATAGCTGAACACGAACATACTTCATCATGTTAACAAATAGTTGAATGCTAACATATATCCCAGTTAAATATTTGACATGGCTATGTAGACATGACTTCAAATTATTCATGTTCTGGCATGAAAAGTAGTGGAAGATGCCATCTCTTATAAAAACAGGACTAACAAAAGAAGGTATTTATACTCAACTAATTCTGCCAGGGCAAGTACCATATATAATTTGAAGTCAGAAACTTCATGCTTTGTTGCCTTAATGTACTACTTGTATGGCTGAGGGCTCATGCAATCTTTGGCTTCATTTAATCTTACCAGGCACTGGAGATATTAATTACTGTAGCTATTACTTGTCTGTATTGCCACATTTTTTATACATTTTAACAATTATACCAGGTGTTATCAAGAGAACTCTTATTGCAGGGTATGCTGAAGCACAGAAATAGTTCTAAAACCAGGCAATTCAAAATACCATTCCTATTTTACAAGATCACTTCATCCATCATATGTATTATCAGACTTGAAATGGAGGCCTAGCAATTTTTTTTTTTTAAATGCAAGTCTGCTCTGAAAAGTGGCATGAAAGCAGCGCTGCGTTTACTTTCTCAGTGATTTCCAAATTAAATTTGCCCAGGAAGGAAACAAAAGTCTCCTAGCCCTGCAAATTCAGACTGGCACCTGAGAGTTAATTTAAATTCTTTCATTTTCAGGAATCACAACATAAGATTTTGAAAAATAAACTATGCCTGGAGTGCCACCTATGTAATCCCATTACCATTAAATCCTTGGCAGGCATAATTAATTGGTATTCCATACACAATTCTGATGCAGCTGTGGTCTTGCAGAGTCAACAAGATTAAAGAACAATAATCCTGACTCACTGAAGTCCACAGGCATGGCGCTCTGATACACGAGAAAGTTCTGTTGAATATGAAGGCACTATTTTTTTATTTTTACACAGTCACTTTCCAGAGCAAAAATGGATTGAGACTTAACTTCATGCTTATAAACGTGTAAAGGACAACTGCAAACATCTTGCCAGCCTACCTGTGCTTTTATACAGCATTCCTGTCATGGTCCCAGCACCTACAGTGTTCAAGTCATCTTCTGCACCTCGTGCTTTCTCTATGATCACTCCAAATGCACTGTAAAGCAGAGCTGGGAAAGATATTGATATTTTTACTTCTTTTTCTAATTTAAGGCATCTGCACAAAATTAACACAGGCTCCCCTACCCCATCAACAATAAGGCTAATATAGTACTTATAGAATATAGCATTCTGATTAACACAAGTTAAAAGCATGCCCTTTCTCAGTGCACCAGTCACCAGTCCAGTGCAGGCTTTACAGCTCTCCCTTTTTCTACTTAAGGGTCCATCTTTAGACTTTTCCAGTCTAGAACATTATCTCATTTCTATTCTACAGGGAGGACATTTCTCTCTGCATCTGCCCTGTAAGTTATTAGGTTGCTCAGACTTGTGAACTGCATTCATTATAAGTGTTTTATTTCTACCTGCGTATGAATCAGCTGCACAATATCTCATACTCCATGGACACGAGAACACTGGTCTGAAGTGAACTTTTACCCTGGATACAAGATCAATCGCTTTGAAGAAAAATAATCTTTAACAGAATTTACAATGTTTCACTAGGACAAGGAATAGAAAAGTATTTCATGCTACTCAGGAATTAACTTCTGTTACAATAACTGCTTTATCTTTGCTGCTCAAAACGCCAGACTGCAAGACCCTTATTCACACTGAGCAGCATTTACTCATTAGTTAATGAGACCAATGGTGAAGTAAGATACTGCTCAACACTAGCAAAGAAACTAAGCCAGCCCTAAGTGTGCAGTACTAGACAGAAAAAAAAAATCTTGCTCAACAGATTCCTGCAAACTGGACAGTTACAGTGTTACGAAACCAGGGAGTTGCTCCTGACTTGGAGAAAACCAAAGTCCACTCTGAGGGCTACCATGGTACTTCCATATCAGGTAACAAAGGCTAGTACCAACTTGCATCATATCAAGTAATACCAAGAACTATAATATGCTGACCAGAAAGACCTTATATGAAATATACTAATTTGCCCACTGGAATGCATGCCAATGTAACCAAACTAAGGCAAATATTTTCTTCAGTAATCTTCCTTCTTCAAACACAGCTGTGAAGATTTGTTAATGTGTCACTCCATAGTGGAACCCTGACCTGGAACTTGCAGTTCCATCTTTTTTCAGACACGTGTCTTAAGTGGTATTTTTCCATTCTGAAAGCAAAGAATTCAGGCAATAGGCCAGCCTAATAAAAATGTCCATAATGAATTGGACCCATAGCCCATTTAGGTGAGCATCCTGCATTCAATAGCACCAGCATCAGATACGGTTAGTTTAGAGACAAACAATGCTTTTCCCCTCAAAAATATTTCTTAGCATTTATCAACACAATTTCATTGGCCATCTTCACCACTGATAACATTGATTAAATAGATAATTAATAATGACTATTTTCCTCAATTCCTATCAATTGCCCTGGTTAGTCTAGCAGACTTCTTGCTTCCTACACATTTTTAAACATCATTTGGCTATTTGCCTTCAAAATGTGTTTTTGGCTATTGTCCTCTTAACACAAGCCATATGTTCCAGACATGGAAGAATATGACAAAAAAGTAATGGAGAAGCTGGCAAAAAAAATAATTCTAAAAAACACTATTTGTATCAGTTGCCTACACTTTCAATAGTTAAAGATTTTACGATACCTAAAAGGGCTCTAATTTAGATGGAACCACCCACAATCCATGGCAGGTGAAACAGATACTAGTTATTATCACTAGTTATTAGAAATATAGGTCATAGGTTAATGTACTTGAAGCCACTTAATGTGCAAAAGAACCAATTTTTTTCCCCCCAAGAACACTTGGAAGTTAACAAAAACACCTTTAGCATGATCATGAGCACAATACTACTCACCCAAAGATCCCAGAGTATTGGCCCAAAGTGCCCCTTGCCTTGTCACCATATTTAAAATTCTGTAAGAGAATTAAAAAAAAGCAAAAACAGCATTAGTTAATTAATCTTATGATGGTCTGCTTCATACTTGTATTCTGGTAGTGCCCTAAGTCACCAATTAAGAGGAAGATTCTGTGATACTGGAAACAACATTTACTTACACCTTGTTTGAATTCATAAAACATGAGACTACAAGTGACTTGCTAGTTCTATAATAGCAACGCTAACTGCACTGGATAATTTGCTTTTTCCTTAATGACTGTTACGTAGCCATCAGGAATCTAGAAATTACAGGCAGCAAAAATTGAAAAATCCCTCTTCACAAGTATAGCAAATATAGGTGCACCAATACAATGGATCATATTGTATTGGCACCAATAAAACAAAAATTGCCACCATCAGCAATCAGCTTTTTCTGGCTGATTGTAGCCAATAATATCGCTAATAAATGCCACATGCATGTGCACAGCTGTTGCATTCATGTGGCCAGGAATGCAGCCCAGCAGCTTGGAGAGCAGCATCCAGATGGTAAGTCTGTGGGGACAAAGAGGCAGGGGAAGGGGAAGTGACCAGGGAGGGCGGCGGGAGGCAGATCAAGGCCCCTATGGTGAGGGAGGGAGTGGGGCAGGGGCAGGCACTGCCCAGCCAGGGCAGAGTTCAGGATGAAGCAATAAGCAGCTCATCCCGGGGGGCACAGTCTCTTGCTGCTGCACATACTCCTGGTGGAGGCACAGGAGGGGGCAGGGGGAGGCACGTGCCTCCTGCATCTGTGCACAGGGTGAGGGTGGGTGGCGCCAGGCTTTTCCTGGCGCAGGGGGATAAACTGGGGTGCATTTGGGGCAGGTGAGGTTGGGTGGGTGGTGGCAGACCCAGGACAAGCTGCTCATGGCTCTGTCCCATGCCTTGCCCCAGCTGGGCAGCGCCTGCCCCACCCCACTCCCTCCCTCACTGTGGGGACCTCAATCAGCACCCCTGCCCTCCACCATGCCCCTTCCCTGCAACATGCTTACAAGTTGGATACTACTCTCCAAGCTGTTGGGCTGCATATCAGCAATTGGATGGGTATCAGTCAATATGGCTCGTTAATAACTGGCCATCAGTACTGGTCCAATAAAAATCTTCTCTTGGTGCACTCCTAATAGCAAATGACTTCTTCACAAAATAAGGTAACCATTTCAGGAAACTAATGTATTTAACGAATACAGCTGTAACTGGGTAGACAAATGCCACAGCTATTGTGTATTCTTTAACAGCACCCACAGAATGGGGTAATAAAAGAAGCTCTTTATTAAGATATAGGGAAATGGGTGGACAGCAAGTTATTTTTGTCAGTGTCAAGGGAGTTTTACAATGGACAGAAGTGAGGGGAGGGAAGAGAAAAATCTCCTCCCCATCAGCAGACAAAAATAAAACTTTTTTTCCCCAGAGTTTGAGGCTTAAACTAACACATACAAGTTAGTTCCAAGCAATCTTGTAGGAATCCCTCCTGCCCCTAACACAGCAGCTAAGGTTTCTCACCAACATGTTGCCCTTAGGGTCTTGTTTGTGCTCCCCTCCCCACATTTTTCAGATCTGCCTGTGACTACTGAAGATTATCAAATGCTGTTCTGGCCAGCTGAAACGAGAGATAGGCTTTATAGCAGGTGGGGAATGCAACTTTCCAAGTTAGACTCTGAACAGGACACAGGGGCATACACCTGTGAAATGAAACATGATAGCACAGTAATAACTAAACTGTTTAGGAGGCCCTCTGGTGACATTTTACTTAGCACTGAATAAGAGCACCTCCTGCAGCGCACTGTCCCCTAAATCCTTTCTGAGGCATTTATTGTTACCTAAGAAGAAAAGAACACTACCAAATTCACCAGAATCAACTGCTGCAGTACCTTTGGTTTTCCTCTAAGATAGTGGTTCTCAAGTTTTGTAGCTTCATGGAACTCCACCATGGCACATAACTTCTTAGAGTTTAGTGGCATCCTGGCTGAGAATGACTGCTCTAATATCTCTGATCCAATGACTGATGGGATGCATGTATTTGCATGTCTAAAGATTGAGTCAAGAATGCTCAGGCTCACTCAGGAATGGGATTTGAGGTCTCCAAGTGTACCAAAACCCTAAGTTTTTCTTTCTGAACACACACACACACACACACACACAATATATATATATATAATTATATCTATATCATACACCCCACCCTATATATATCTATATCATATACCCCGCCCTATATATATATGATAGATATGCATTCCCTTCCCCAATTATTTTTGGCTTTTCTCTCTCTCCCTCTCTATTCCCTACAGACAAGCACAAGCGAGCTCAGACTTAAGATAAAGCTTTAACATTTTTATTTTGGTAGCAAGTTTTTGGTTTTGGATATCCACTGTTTTATATTGTATTATTATTAGGTTTGTATCGATTTTTACTGTTGTACATTGTATTATTATCATTTTTGTATTGATTTTTATTGTTTCATATGGATATTGTAGGGTTTAGGCCTGTGTTTGTAAGTGAGCCAAAGTCATGTCAAGTTTCCATTTTATATGTCAAGCCTCCATCTTGTATAGCCCTGCCTTCCCTGAGGGACCAAGTTGCCCTATGCCTCATCTGCATATAAGCTTTTGGAGGATCCCAGGACTCATGACAAGATGACCCAGTTTCAGTCACAGTTGGGGGACTAATTAGCACATGGATCCTTTTGTCGGGGGTATCTGAACAGTGCTGAGCTGAGAGGTCACCACAGCTTGAAATACTGTTGACTCTGTTGAGGCCCCACCCAATGAGCTATATAGTAAATCATGAGCCTTTTGGCTTTGGACAAACATCAGATAGCTTGTACTCTCTCTAAGTAGGTGCTAAAGTGCTACTTAAAAAGTATGTTTATGGAGTACTTGTGCTAAAACTTGCAGCAGTTTAAAAAAAAAGTAAAAAACAATTTCTGGGTAAACAAAGTCTATGGGCACTATAGCTGTAGCAATTTTCATATATGTATTTTAAGGTCAGCATTTTCAAATGCACCCTTCACTATGCGTTTAGGAAGAGCAGGCTCTGACAGTGGGAAGGGGTGGGGGGGAAGAAATGGGCTTCAGGGGGCAAAAGTTGGGGAGGGGGCAGAGGTCAAAGAGGATCCCTGACCCCCCAGATTTATTTTCCATCATGTAGCCATGGAAGGGGAACAAATTCAAGGCCAACCTCCAATAATTACTTTTATACCTTGAAAATTGTATTGAATTTATACATTTTCCATATATAGAATCTAGTTGTTGCGGGGGGGTTGCATTATATTTGAGTAAATACCATAGTTAAATGATGAGGGAAGATATTTGCCCTAGGATACATGTATGCAACAGAAGGTCAAGAAAGCTAGCCCAAATATTTGTATATTTGTATGCTCCTAGACTAGCATTAAGCAATTAAGACATGCTTAACACACTGTCAGGAAAGCACATTACCATTCCATGTTGGCATCAGTTGCCTCCACAATGGTAGCAACAACCAGATGAAAAGACTAGTATTTCTCTCTCAGCCATGTAACGCCGTCACATTGTATAGCTCTGGACTGCTTATTACTGCTGGAACTTAGCTCAAAAACATCACATTATGCCTTGTCTGTTCCTGATTCCCAAAGACCGTTTCCCTACTTTACCCTTACTAATAGTTTTCATTGAACTATAGATTGATAGCAAACACTGTTATATTTAGATGGACTGGGAAAAATGAATTTTGAAGTAACTGAGATACCTCAGAATTTTGCATTCTGAAGTAAATGAATAGGTCTGAGGTGTTCAAGTATGTCTACCTTTCAGAAACACATCATGAGGCATTTTTCCCTTTATATGTATAGGTGAACTCAGTTTCTTGGGGACGGTCCTGCTTTGAGCAGGGGGTGGACTAGATGACCTCCTGAGGTCCTTTCCAACCCTAAATTTCTATTATCCTCCTCCTCCCCCAGCCCCACATTAAAATTATCATAGGTTTGAATTTCCTCATTTTGAGTTTTCAGCAAGTAATAAAAAGCAGTAACTAAGGCATGTTGCTAGCTATGTCAGTGTAGAGGAAATAACATTTTGGAATCTTTAAATATATACTCCTGTAAACATTAAAAGAGAGAAAGGAAACTAATAATTAAGTTTAGGAATGTGGAATAATAGTTTATGTTTCAGAAGAGAAGCTCTCTTGATTGCACACTCAAATGTGACTAGCCCTAATTTGAACATACATGACATACTGTTGGTCATCTTTCTTTCATAGATTTCAGTCCCTGGCTAAATGGACCAACTGAAATAAAAACCTTCAGTAACTGACTTGTACGATTTTACCGGGCTGCTAGAACTAACAAGACTGATAATCTATGAAACTGATAAAGTATAACCCCATAAATCTAGATATAAAAAAAAAATCCAGCACTTTTTAAGCTTCCCCCTCCACTCTCCCAGACACTGAGGGAGAAGCTTGCATGCTACTGCCATGTGCCACCCCATGACACCACTCCATATGCAGCCGCTCTCCATGACTGGCCGCCACTCCTCCCCGCCCCACAGGACACAGATGGGGAAGCTTGCACATGGCAGCTGCCGCCGCCATCCACCGCCCCGTTCCATGTGTGACAGTGGCTCCAGGACCAGCTGCTGCTCCACCCCGCTTTGGGATGGCCGCCACTTCGGTTTCAAAAAACCAAAATTTTCAAATTTCCAGCAGGTGCTCGGTCCCAAGCAGGCCGGATTTACTGCAATCAGTTTCAATGAGAAACCAGCTTCAGCTATGGTGCATTAATTACCCTTAAACACACTCCCATTTTTGCAAGCACTAGTTTAATTTGGTAAGAATTTTTTTGCAAACCAATATTTTTTCCCTTATATACAGTTGAAGACAAACTCCTTTGAGCAGGAACTATACCTTTCTTTGTTGCTCTTAGGTACTTGTAGTGGTCAAGTCATACTGTGACGCAAAACCTAATTTCTTACAGGTACATGATGACTTAATAGTGACTCATTTAGGAAGCTATTTAAAACTTAATGAAATAACATTTTCATGCATCTGAAATCTACTACATAAGTATCTGAATGTGTAAGAAGTCCATGGGACTCCTAGCTATAAGAGTAACTTGAGTAGTCTGAAGTAATTGGGAATTTGACTTCAGTAAAGTAGAATCTTAAATGTCATGCACTTAAATAGGTTTGATACCTATTAAGGAATTACAGAAAAGTTGATACTGCAACTATTTGTGTTTTCTGGGGGAGTGAGGGTGGGAAAGGGATTTTTTGTTTTACTAATCCAACTCAATAGTGATAAATTATGACTCCACAAAGGCACAGTCTCTTTCAAATTTCTGTAAGATTTTTGCTTTTATGCTCTTTAACACTAAAATCAGTTAAAAAAAGGTATGTTCTGTGTAAAGGTATCTTCAGTGCCACCTGGAGTCCCGTCACCTCCCAGCTGTAACAGTAGTGGCTCGTTATAATATATCACCTGACATGCCTTTGATGTTATGGGAGATCATACTTAGCCACTACTGGGAGGCAACAGAGAACAGTTAGAGACTCAGAACTTCTGCGGCTGTTCGCAGGGCTCCACCATTCCCATACCCTGCCCACACAACACCTGATGTTCCAGACAATGTTGACTGCTGCTAAGGTTTGTTGTTAGCTTGACCTGAAGGCTTGTATCTACAGCCCGGGTCTAAGTGGCTGCTTGCCCCGTTCTGCCCTGCCCGGGTCCCAAGACAGCTACCTCTTCTTCGGGTTCCCTCCTCGTCACCCTCGTGGGGCTGGGGTCTTCCCTCTCTTCGCCGCTCCCCTCTGGAAGAGTAAAGGTCCCCTTTGCTCTCCTCTTCTTCTAGGTCCCCGGAGTGGTTCCCTTCGCCCCCTGGATTCAGACTCACCAGTTGCTCAGATTTCTTCACTGACTCTTGCTCCTGGTTGGAACTCGCCTGGTAAGTAGCAAGGTCGGAGCTTAGCCTGGGTTCTTCTGTAAGATCTCCTTTGTTTGCTTGCTCCCTCTTCTCCTCACCTTCTCTGCTACCTTACTTCTTCCACCCCCTTGGTGTTCCCTCGGCGTCCTTTAGATCTCCCTCCTTTCAGCTGGGTCCTGCACGGCAGTTCACTATTGACTCCATGCTTGACCCAGCTGTTCCCCTTTAGCTTGCTGGTGTGGTTCTTCTTTCTTTCTCTTTGTTCTTTTCCCACACCAGTCTCTTCTTTCCCTGTTTGATTTCCGGTGGCTGGGTCTGCCGCAACAACCTTTGATCTGCCGCAGCCCCAGCCAGCGTCTCCATTCACCCGGATCACGTCGGGGTTTGCTGCGGCTCCTCTGATTCCCCGACTTAAGTCTCCTTCCCCTAGTTCTCCCTGTTTCTGCTCATGGCAGGGTGCTTCGTGCACCCTGTCACACTGCATATTTCAATGGCAGTAACACTATAGAAAGCCAAATTAAACATGTGACAAAACAGACTGAAGAAGCTTTTATAGGTTTCATTCTCATTTATCAGTTACTGGCAACAACAAAAATTAATGTGAGACACTGTCTGCAGCTTCCTTTTGAACCAAAAATGTTAAGTAAAAGCTACTCCAGGCAAACCCCTGACACTTCCCTAATAACAGATTATCTTTTTCTATGAGTAACTGCTTTCATGGTGATTAGAAGATTGTTTTTTTTTGCGGGAGGGAGGTGTGAAAGCGGCTGCTACAGTTACTTGCTAGGACCAAGAACATAGACCAGTGCTGGTATACAAAAAGAAACAATACTTTTGGCTTCACAAAGAAAATATACAACCAGTGTCTCTTTGCATGCTGACAGATGTGGGAAACCTGCCCCCACCAAGAAAACAACCTTTACTGGAAGACAAAGTGCATCAGTTTGACCCAGCTCGCCTAATGTCTGTATAAATCGAGCACTTCATCAGGGCCTTTTGGTGCTTGTATCTAATAGCTGACTGAATCTTCCGATCTATACAGAGTTAGGCCAGGTAGGTCAAACTAACACGATGCCTCTTCTAGGCACGTCTGTGCTCAGTACAGGGGTGTGCTGAGCTAAAAGTGTTGTTTTTGTTGGGTTTTTTCCATGTGTGTAAGCATCCTTTCTGATTCCCTATAAAAGAAGAGAAATGAGTACACTGTTTCAAGGTGGTGACCTTCAGTATGTTTTCCTTGGAACTAGAGGGCAAAGAATAAATTAGTGGGAGTGTGTCTTTACTGCCATCTGCTGGCTTAACTATGTCAAATCAGTACTTGACAAGTTTCAATTAAGAAAAGGGAAATTTTAATTTTTGCCTATAGTTTGCTCACTGTAATGCCTAAAAAACCCCTATTAATCTGTTACATTTTAAATGAAAAACCAATATTAGAAGTCATTTTAATTATGAAAATTACATTAGATTCAGAGTAGAGAATGTATTGTTTACACATTTTTATTCTGTACATCGGTAAAAAAGGGAAGAGAATGGAAACAGTGCTCAAATATGAACAGCCAATTAAAACTTTGCCAGGGACTGCTAATTTCCTTCCCAAAATTGCTAGTCTTCCTCTTACAAAAGAGTATTGGGGTCAAGTTAAACCATTTCCCAATACTTATGCCAAGTCTAAGTCTCAACTTTTTTGCAAAGAGGGAATTGGGGGAAAGGATGGAAACGACACACAGCAGCATAGTTCACTGCACATAGTCCAGTGCCACACACTCAGCTGACACTTTTCAATTTGTCATGCAACACTAAGGTGAGAACAGCAGTAAACAAGTGCAACCCAGGACAACTTTTGCAGTTTGGATGCTAGCACTGTGCACATCTAGATCCTTCTCTAAAAAATCAAATTTTGGTAGGCCCAGCTATTAGCACTCTGAGTTTGTCCTAAGTCTCCCCTTCCAGATCATGCAGAGGTTGGGAACACTGAGGAAGGAGAGTACTCAGTCCCAGGAAAGTGAAGGCAAGAGTGCCTCACAACTTTCTTCAGAAATACAGACTTTGAGAGGAGATGGTTTCTAACAAATATCCAGAGAATAGCTACATCGTCACTCATCCTCTCTCCAAAACCTCTTTAAGAAAGAGGAAAGCAATGGAACAGACTGAGGGATATATTTGAAAAACTAATTTACATTTTTGACAGATTAATCAAGACATTTTATAACTTGAGTCTTCCAAAAAATGTACCCATATTTGTTCCCCCAGAGAGAATTATACATCTTTTTACTGCCTCTTCTTCACAATTATAATGGCTCACAGGTACCTTTGAGAATAGTGTATTACTGAAATATAATTTTGAAAGACTTACTGCACGTTTCTAGGTTTGGACCAGGCCATGCTCTGTGTTTCCTTCACACCCAGCCGCAGACCATTTAGTGCACCGAATGCAGCCCCTAGTGAATCATAACAGCAGGAATTACTTCATACAGAAAAAAACAAAATCATCTTTAGTCTTCTAAACCAGTGGTTCTCAACCATTCTAGACTTATGAGGGATACTGGGTGAACGAGTCCCTTCCAGCCCTAATGTCTATGAAATCTAAGAAACCCCTCACGAGACCCAGGGCATCCCTTTGAAAATGCTAGCTCTTAGTTTCTATTTGTTTTCTGACTAGAGAAATAATAGAGCAGTTCTTCTGTTGCAAAGAACTTAGAAAGACCACAACAGGTTGGAATGTTGTTAACATAAATATTTGAAACTTCTAGGTTTCTCTCGTAAATCATGTTTGCGCACCCAACAGTGCAAACATTGTGTGGCACCCTTCACTACCCTTGAAAGGACCTCAAGGCATCCCAGAATGCTGTAGCACCCTGGTTGAAAATTACCGTTTTAAGCCTACAGGTAGCAGTCAAGGAGTAACTTATGCCTGTGAATATACAGCCTACAGGAAAGAAGAAAATAATACAAGATTGTCCATACAGTTTTTAATTTAAGTCTCAAGTTCTTGGATTTTCTTTAAAAGCAAGTCAACCTTACACCTTGAAACAGAATAAACATGCCACTAACCTGTCATACAACAGCCTCCAATGGTGAAAAAGGCCAACTCAAACCTGCCCCGAGTTTTGTTAGCTCCTGTAGGTAAAATAAACTCATCTGTATCCTGAAACAACAGAAATTCTGTGCATTATAAAATGGCATTCTTCAACTATGTATACTTTCAAATACAACTATAGTTCTCTATACTGACTTACCAATGCCTTGCTCCTCTACAAGGAGCAAAGCATTATAATAAAATTAGACTTTAAAATGGGGTGGAGCTCAATTCACAAAAGTTAAGGAGACATGCCTTGAGTCTAATCAGGTTGAGAACCACTGCTATAAAGGAGCCACTCTGCCCTGCCTTCTACTTATTCTGTCAGTCACTTGTGAGCTAGTTCAATTTGACTACATCCCTTGTGAAATAACTAATTCTGAAACAGGTGCTTATGTTTAGCAAGAAACAAGACACATGGCTATGTGCAAAAGCATCACAAAGGATGTATCCTCACTGGGGGATCTGGTATTGACTTGGCAGAGGGAATGATTTGGGAATCAAAGTCCTTCTGCCAACTTGTACCTATCATCTACCCTCTCTCTGAAAATAGGGCTACTCCTTTCAGGTACTGTGAAGTGATTTTTTAATTTTTTTAATTTTTTTTAAGAACTACAATAATACCTCCTGATCTCAGCTAATAGGGCAAAACTCAGATACACAGTCCCTCAGTTTCATAGATTTCATAGACATTATGGCTGGAAGATAATCAAGTCCAGCCCCCTGCCCCAGGGGCAGGAACTCAGCTGGGGTCACAGAATCCCAGCAAGATAAAAGTCCAATTTACTCTTAAAGAAGTCCAGAGTAGGTGGCTTGCACCACCTCTGGTGGCAGTCTATTCCAGTTACACAGCACCTTCTCTCCAGGTATATTTCAAAGCCCTTACATTTCTCTCGATTTAATTTAATTGCTGATATTAATAAAGGACAAAGACAGCTCTACCATAAGACTATAAGGTCTGCATGCAATTGGCAAGTACATAAAGCAATTTTATCACTATCACCTACCTAAAATTACTATATGTATGAAATGAACATTAAGTCATTTAACAATATAATAGTTTCTTACCTGTATTAAATACTTGGGGTCCACATTTAAATAAGGAGACAATGGGCTCATTCCAGTCACTGCAGCAGGGGGAAGAAAAGAACACTTTGTAAATATTAGCATAAAAGGGCAAGGATGGTTAGGAATGCAAGTAATGATAATTCTCACAGCAGTTTTCATTAGCTATAAAATGATTTTAAATAATCCTAAATACCATTTATAATAACACAATAATATTTCCACCTACATATATCTAGATGGTATATTATTTTCATTGTTACCATACATCACGATCAGGGGATTAGTTGTCAATAAAACTGACATTGATTGATTCCCTATTCTCACTGACTTGTGCGTCCTTAACACTATTTTAACTTCTATGCCTCCATTTCTACATCTGTGAAATGGGAGGATAAGTCTTTTATCTTTTCTGTAAACCACTTTTGGTATATTCTTCAGTTTATAAATCAATCCCACACTTTCAGATTCAGTTTTAGAAAAATGGTTTTCTTTCCTGAAGATAGTCAACAACTTCTGATTAAAATCCTTGAACTGCTTTTACCCCTTTAAAATCCCACAAAAGAATTCTGCTTCCCCTGCCCCACAAAAAAAAACTCAAGGAATGGACACAAAGGATTAAATACACTAAAATTCTGAAATAATAAAAAAACATCCTCTGTACCAGAGATAATTTTGCTCAAGGCTTAGGTCTTTGGCCTAAAAATTTGTTGTCCATACATATCAGGGCAATCATATGCACATACAAATTGGGGAATAACTTAGTAGGCTGCAGTACTACTGAAATGGATCTGGGGGTTATAGTAGACCATAAGCTAAATGAGTAAAAAGTGTACTTTTGTTGCAAATAAAGCCAAGAACATGCCGGGCTGTATGAATAAGAGCGTTGCCTGTGAAGAAGTGATTTTTCCACTCTATTCAGTACTGGTGAGGCCCGATTTAAAATACTACATCAGTCTTTGGGCTGCAAGAAAGATAAGGAAAAATCAGAAAGCCCAGTGGAGAGAAACACAATGATTGAAATGTTTAAGAAACATTATGTGAAAGTAAGGTTGAAAAATAGGATTATTTAGTCTGGGAAAGAGAAGATTGCAGGCTGGGACTCAGTAGATCTTCAAGTATGTGAAGGATGGCTAAAGGAGTATTGTGATAAAGCAGTGCTGCCTAACCTTTTCATCCCAGGGGGTGGATGGGCAGTGCCAGGTCCCTCTGTAGGCCGAATCTGGCTGTGGTGGAGTGTCCACAGTCCAGCCTTGATCTGATCACCTGAAGTGGGGGCAGGCAGAGTAGAGTGGTCCTAATCTGGACATGTCGGGGGGAAAGGAGGGGGAGGACCCACACCGATCAAAACATCTGGGTTGTGGGGGAAGCAGTCTGGGCCGGTCTGGATGCAGAGGAGGCAGGCCTTGCGTTGATTCTGTAGGCAATGGCCTGGGGGAAGGCTGAATCCAGCCATGCAGAGCTTCCACTGCTCCCAGGTTTTCCAACCCATGGGAATCACCACAGGCTGGATGCTATGGCTCTGTGTAGTCAGAGAGTGGCCAAATGGGACAGGACCTGAAGAAACCGTCTTAAATGGCAAAAAATGAAATTTAAGTTGCATATGAGGGACAGCTTTCTAACTATGCGGGTGGTTGAGAACTAGGACAGGCAACCCAGAGAAGCTCTGAAGTTTCCCTCCTTGGAAGTTCTTAAGAGCAGGTAAGGGTGATCTGAGATGATTTTAGTGTGGGATAATTCTGATTAGATGACTTCCAGGGATATCTTCCAGCTCTGTTTTTCTATTTTAAGAAAAATATTCCTGAGTCAAATAGAAATTGCTCACAGCCTTACACACAGACCCTATCTAATGCCAGATGTGAAGTGCAGTTCAGGATTCAAGCTTTACATGACACACAGAGCTAAAACCCCGGACCCAAGCATCCCTCGTCAAGGCTCGCAAGCCCTAATTCCCCAAGAGATGCAGAGGATGAGCCATGGGGGAGGGGTAAACTGGGAGCTGTTTTCTTTGTGGAAGACACTGGTTCTGTTGAATCTGAAGCTTTTCCCTCTTGGTTTTGACTGACCTCCCATGAATGCAAGGCAGGGTCCCACAAACCCCACCACCCTTGCCTCTGTACCACGCAGCCGCTGGTCTGGGCGCCTCCCTTTGATATGCAGCTCGTAACACTGGCGAGCACAAACTGAGCTCTCCCCTTCCCCGTCCAAGCCCCTTCCTGAGCCCGAGCTGCCGCTCCGCTTTCTGCGCCCGGCCTCGCTCACCCCCGGCCATTCCTCAACTCCCAGTCGGGACACGGACGGTTAACACCGCCCCCACAGCGTCACCTCCCCCGCACCTTCCCCAGGGACATAAGACCCGCCCCGCTCCTCCAGTCCTGAGGCGCGAAGAGGCCGCTACTGGGGGGGGCACTTACGGGGCACGCCAGCCAGGTCTGCGTGCGAGTAGCCCGGGCCCCCAGCCCCGAAGAGGCTGCCAAGCCCGGAACCCCTAGACGTATTACCACCACCCTCCATAGCGGCCACCGGCCCCGAGCCGCGACCACGCAATTCCTCCGCACTCCCTGCTGCGGCAGCTGCCGTCAAGGGAACCCGTCACCTCGCGGCTTCCGCACCACCCTTCCGCTTTACGACAGGCCGCGCCGCGCCGCTCTGCTTTCCGGGCGGGGCGGGGCGGGGCTGTTGCCATGGCGAGCGGCGGAGACATTTTGATGCTCGCGCCGGCCTGAGTGACCTCCTCTTCCTGCAGAGTTCGGCGGCCCCGGTAGGACGATGCTGAGGGGAGCCAGCGCCGTCCTAGCTCGCCGCTGGTGAGCTCGGCCGGGCAGCGCTGGGCTCGGCAGCATGAGTGCAGCAGCCGACTGTGACGTCCCCAGGAAGAGAGTGCGTCTGGGCTCGGCCGCCCCCTGCTCCCCGCCGCCCCCCGCCCGCAGCGCCAGCCTCGCCGCCGCCGTGGGAAACAAAGGTTGGTCCGGCCCGGCGGGGCGCCCCGTTCTGCGGCCCGGCCCGGGGCCAGCCTCCCGCCTCGTCCGTAACCGGAGCTGAAACCGCGGAATCTCCCCTTGGCCGAGGGCTCGTCCCGGGAAACGGCTCTATCTTCACGGTCGTGGAATGCACGAAATGCCCCGAGGGGAGTGGCTGAGTGTCCCGGCCGGAGTCGGTCTCCTGGTCCCGCTTGTTGAAAGTCCTCGCTAATTTTCCCCGGGAGCCCAAGGGGAGACGTTGGGTGGAATCGCTCCTTTGGCGAACCAGAGGTTTCCTTTAAACAAACAAACAAACAAAAAACATTTTAAAACAACAATAAATCCGGTGTAGTGTCAAGGCTGATGCTGCTGTAGCTCCTGGAAGCTGCGGGGGTCTGACTTCTGCTCCCACCCTGTGTTGCGAGGCATCGTGGCCCTGGAAGGCCCTGTCCTGCAGCAGCAGTGCACGCTGCTTTTCAAGCAGTTTGTAACTCCAAGGCTGCTTAAAATATCTTATTGCACTTGTGTTTGGCCTTTATTAGGACAAACATTAGCAGAAAAGTGTGTGGCATTGTTCAGCATCTCATCATTTTGCTTAGTTGCTGAGTTTCATGGGATTCCAGCTCATGAAATCTATCCCCCATGCTTTTTGTGTTTTTTTTTCTCATTTTTGCTTCAGAGGCCTAGGATGCTCCTATTGTTATTATACTAATATTATATTATGCTATTATATTGTCAGGAGTTGAATATTACTGTGCTGTATAGAAGAAGCTGGTACGTGCCCAAACAATGGAACATTTGTCTGTTCCTAGTGTTGTAAACCTAACACAGGGAACAATAAAATAAAGTAGATTTCAGGGAAGGGGCAGAAGAAAAGAAAAAAAAATCTTTCAGTATGTCTTATGCAGAAGACTACAGGTCTTCACAGTAAAGCGTAGCTTGTTTTTTGTTTTTTTGGGTTTTTTTTTAAGAGAGGTAATCTCCAAAAGGAGGACTCGGTGGTGGGGGATGTTTTGCAAAGACGGTGGTTATTTCTGTAAAGATCTCTTCAGAGCAGCATTGGTATCCGAAGAGTCATCTGATAATTAAGTTTTTCTGTTGTGTGGTAGGTTCTGGGGAATGTGTATTTCTTAGTGGAAATCCTTTTGAAACTTGATTATAGCTTTCAGTTTAAATATATATGTTGAATTACTTTTATTTTTAAAGCTAGTGTTAAGTGTAGGTTGTTTCTTTTTCTTTTTTTCTTTTTGGGCCAGTTTGCTTTTATCACTAAATGAGGTAATATAACAAAGGCAGTAAAGAAATGAAGGATGTTGTAGTGGTTTCTAGGTTGTAGGGACTATTTAAATATGAGTGACCTTTTCTGTTTTGCAGCTGTCTTTTTGCTCTTCCCTTATGTGCCAGTTAATAATTGCTCCTCTTGTCAGTACAGGTTTTTCTCAGGTTTCAAAGTGACTGGCTTTTACCGACATCGCTGTGTTTGTCTTTACAGAAAAACAGCCAGCAATAGTAAACTTCTCAAGAAGTTTAACTACATCAATACAATGTTTACAGTTCTTATAAGAAGTAAGGTTGAAATATTTTAGGAAAAAGGATCTGTATTCTTATTATACTTGCATTGTAATTTGCTGTGAAGAAATAAATACAGTTTGATATTTTGGTTAGGTGAATGTGGAGTTCAGCCATTGTAGAGAGACTGAATGGCTGAATATACCACTCCAGTTCGTGTAGTCTACAGAACATGAGGTCCGTAGAGATCTGTCTGGGCAGATGGTGCCAAACCTCCATGTTTCTACCATGCATCAGAAGACCTTAAAATACATTACCTCCCTAATACTACTTTTCCATAAAGAAATATTTGTAGTTGTAGCAGGGAGATTATTTGATGCACGGTAGGGAAGGGTGGTGTATGCAGCCCTAATTGGAAGGGGAAATGCTCACAGAACAGTTTTGCATTATGTTGCTCTCTGTCCTGTGAAATGATTGGAAAATAGCCAGTTGATAGACTTAGTATCTTACTAATAAGCACCTGGTTCAAATTCAGCCCAGGTGGGAGGTGATTGAAAGCTGCAATGGGCACAGTCTAAGCAGATAAGTAGATGTAGTGGCTACTTGTTGGTCTTGGTTCAGTGGTACAAAAAACTACCATTAGTGGGAGAAAGTGGAGCTAGGATATCAATAATAAAATTGTAAGTTTTTTTTTTTGTTTGTTTGTTTGTCTTTAAGCATGATTATGGTTGTAAAGATTATCTTCTAGGTCTGAACTGAATGTAAATGTAAGTTGTTTTCCTAGTCTCTAGGTAACTATTTCCTATGCTTCTGCTGAAAGCTTTCAGCAGTCTGCCTCAACATCATGGCATTAAAGTAGTAGTTTGCTTACAGATTTCACTAAAACAATGCAATAAAATAAACAATAAAAATATCTTTAATATAACATTGATATCATTTATAGTTTTGCTAAAGTCATACAATGAGATTATCCAGTCAGTTTACACAAAATTAAAACAGAAAATAAAATATGATGATAAGAAAGTGAGGATGAAGCATTGGGCAGTAAAAAGAATAGGAGAATTCAGTTTGATTTTGGCCCTTGTTCTGTGTGCAGGTAATACACACAGACCTTAGGAGTATAGAATAGTCTCTGATTTGTAGTCGCCAATGACTGTCCTACTCGTTTCTGCGGACTCAGAGGATTAACTAGATGCTAAGGGCCATGTAGCTGTAGTGTCACATGACAAAAACACTGCCATAGCGTTGCATCACGAGTATTAGGCTACTGTGTAGTCAGCATCACAAAAAAGGCATCCGTTGGTGCTGCTGCGTAGTAACTCAGTTATAAACAAGTACTAAATGACTGCAGTAACCTGAGTTATGGATCCATAGTGCCAACAAATGCCTTTTCTGTGACAATGACTGTGCTGTAGCCTAATACTACTTGTTACTGCAAAGTCAGTTAGTACTTGTTTATACAACCGCATATTCTAAGGGTCTTGTGTAGATGCAGCCAAGGAGAAGCAAATAGCTCCATACCTAGGTAAGAATAATCTTATGGTCTGGAACATAGCTAGATTGTCAGATTATCTGACCCACTGTGGAGAATTCTCATTATTGATTAATAATCAATGATTTTGTCATTGTGGTTTTGCAAGAGTTGTGGTAGGGGAAGATGGTGTGCGTTCCTGGATTTATTTGATTTTATAAAAATGACTGGAAGGATAGAACTAAAGAGTGGCCTCAGGGAAGCTTGATTATACTTCTCTTGATAAGGAGTCCGACTGAGGGATTAGAAATTGATATAGGCTCTAACCATCTACTAGCAGCCCTCATTACATTTGATAATAGACCTCCCTTGATACTCATTAATGTCTATTTCCACCATTCATATCTAGATACAATGCAATCTTGAAATGTGCGTTGTTATATAATGATCTTGAGATGATTCAGAATAAATTTTCAGAATAACTATAGTAGGGGATTTGAATTCTAGAATTGGTGGTAGTAACCCCCATGTGATAGAGCTGTCATAAATGGAATATGGGCAATCTCCCAAGCAATCTTCTGTGATAATGAACTAAACGAAGGAGGGTGGTACTTCTTGAAATTCATTGCAGGGGAGAATTTTAGAATGCTGAATAGACAAACTGGAATTAAGAAGGCTTTGATCAGTTTTTTTTACATATGATTTCCAGGGCCCTAATAGGCAGTGAATCATGTCTATTTCATATTACTGCAGCTGGTGCCTGGGGACAGCAGCAAGGCAGGCGTAATAGATTATTTGTGAGGGGAGAGAAGCCCAGACTTGGAGGCCACTGCAACTATGAGATTTTTATTCTATCCTCTCCACAGAAGGCAGGGATTTCAGGGGGCATGAGAGAATGGCAGAACGAATACTTACAGTGTAGGCTACCTGTGCCCCCCAAAATGCCTTTTTATGTGTTATCTTAGTTCTGTGATTTTAATCCAAAGGTAGCGTTCTGTTATGCGGATTTGGATAACGCAAAGCCTAAATTCTTTTCCTCCTAATATAGGGTGTGTTTCAAAGAAAGTGCCTAGTCTGAAGGAAAGGATAGATGGCTTGCATGTTGACAGAAGATAAAAAGAATAGGTTAATTCAAATCAGCATGTTGTGTGTATTCTTTTGATTTGTATATACATTTTTGGCAAATTTATATATTTGGCTTTTGAAACTTTTGGAACAAATGAATGCATGAATTAAAGCTACTCCTGGTCACTTTTAACATGCACTGTTGGGGGGTTTTTTTGTTTGGGGTTTTTTTAGGGGTGCATGGGTAGACGTTTTGGGGGCTGATACCGACTTTTTCTTTTCTTTTTTTTTAAAGGAGGCATATCGGCCAATTTTGATCTGATTTCCAGTACAGCTGAGTCTAGCTGGTAAGTCTGTTGTGGTGAAAGGGGAGGGAAGGGGCATGGGGTGGTGAGGGCAGATCAATGTCACCCATGGTGAGGGGGAGGGAGTGGGGCTGGGGTAGGCACTGCTTGGCCAGGGCGGAGCAGGCACAGGGCGGAGCTGCGGTTCGTCCAGGGACTGGGGGGGCACAGTTCTTGCCGTTGTGTGCCACTTGCTTTCCTACTCCTGCCACTATTCCTGCTGCTCATCTGGG